TCGCGAAATTCTCAAACTTCTGTGACATCATCATCACAGAAACGCGGAAAATTCTCACATTCGAAAGAAAACCAGGTGAATCTTCATCACTGTGTTTATAACTGCAACTTCGCTCAGACACCCCACCGTCAACAACAAAAAAAACTACACCAAGTCGATCGCGAAATCGATAAAAACTGTCCACTGAAATCCTCAACCGTGGCCCGAGGCCGAACGTGTCTGGGTGTGCTTTTTCCATTCCCGCTTGCTGATGATCATCAGCATCATCACAGCCGGCAAGTAGACCAGAGTATAACGAAACAACTTGCGAGAACTCTTGCTGTCGCGGTCTTGGTGAAACCGCCAAGAAAGGTACAATAAATACGCATTCAACGGCAACGAGTCCACTGCAAATGTCCACGTCGTCACGCCAAGCAAGGGCGCTGCCAGACTGCAAACGACCCCAGTTGCGATGCTGTATCGCAATGTCGTTCTCATGCATAAACCTATTTTTCAAAGGAAAATATTGGATTTTTTTTAATAACCCAGGGTTGCAAAGCGCGCCAACAACGGAATTTCAAGCACAAATGAACTTCGACAATTCAAACCTACCCAAGTCGAATTTTTTCAAGTCTTCCACCTGGATTTCTTTAGAAACAATGAATTAAAAACCTCTTCAACTCTAACGCGTTTCCTCTAAATCGTCCGCAATCCGAATTTTCTGAGGCCTTTCGGCTATCATTTTCTTGAAAAAGGAAAGAGAAAAGCAATTAAAAAATTAACTTCATGTTTTGAAAGGAAGTAAAAGTTTAATTGAGAAAATTAACTTTTGCCTCCAAGCTCAGCGTCCCGTCAAATTATTCAAAAACCATTTTAAGCCCCAGAATATCACCATTTACAATTTTCTGCTTTCCTCGAAATAAAAATTCTCGTTTCCCTAACTCGATTTTTAAAGACTAAGTTCTTCTTTTTCCATTAGTACACTTAACTTCTCTTTAATGCCTTTATTTTCTCTTTGTAAGACCAAAACCGATTAACTCTGCAGTTAGAGTGGGTCATTTCTTTTGAAAAAAAAAAAAATTAACCCGTCATAACAACCACAACGTTACACCTGCCCATTCAAACTTCGCGAAAGTCATTCGCATGAAAAAGTTCAATAACCAAATCGAATCTCTTTCAGAATTCACTATTAAATAATCGGACAGGTGTCGCCTGAATACCTACCTCGACAACGCACTTGAATCAAACCTGAAATTTCGTCAAACCGGAACTAAAGAAGCACAACTGAAGTTAAAGTAACATCGAATAGCCAAACAAAATCCTGCGAACGTAACCAAATTTAGCCGACACTCAAATTTTTACAGAGAAAATCACAGAGGCAAGAAGTCCAGGAACAAATGAAAAATTAAATAACGTTTCGCTGATCAATATCAACGGTCACTGCCTTGAATTACAGCATGCATTTTCACGGGTTCAAACCTTTTACGCATTCGGCATCTTATCACAGACTTTAAATTTCATACTTACTGTATAAGTAGAGTTGAATGACAACCACGTCCTGTCTTCAATAAAGAAAAAAAAGAGGCAAAAAAGGGAGGGAAAAATCAAGTGTTCACCTGGATCAGTGACAGACATCATTCTGTACCCAGCCCGAGAATAGTCGGGCCTCAAGTTCCACGAAAGGGCGTTGAAGTGAGGGAATTGCCAGGTAAACAAAAGCGCGGCTAACACACACGCGCCCGGGTCCAGCGCACCCGTACATGCGACCCAACCCATGACCGGGGGAAGTCGGGCCTCAAGTTCCACGAAAGGGCGTTGAAGTGAGGGAATTGCCAGGTAAACAAAAGCGCGGCTAACACACACGCGCCCGGGTCCAGCGCACCCGTACATGCGACCCAACCCATGACCGGGGGTACGGCTCCCACGACGGAACCCAGCCACGTGTTGAAGATCGACACCCGTTTCAATGGTGTGTAAACAGACGTGTAGAGAAACAGGTTGAAAAGACCCAAGCCTGCACACAGACCGTTGACACCAAACCACAGGATAGAGAATCCAGTCGCTGCTGATGCCAGTGCGAATGACACAGCGTGCAATGGTCTAGTTATACAAGAAAAAAAAGGGACGAATTTAATTTTCCTCGCTCACAAAACAGCCGAAATGACAAGACAGGTGGACTCTCTACAACTTTTAAGTCCGCTGGCACCTTTTTAAGCAACGTGTGTCGGAGGTAATACTCCCACCTCTGGGGGTACAGGTTACCCTGGTGATTTTAAAGCAATATGCCTCTTTTAGACATTCAGTTGGACATAAACGAATTTAATCCATTCCCTCATATACTGTCAACATAGAGATAATCTCAACACCACGAGGGCAAGAATCTAAATTTAAAATAAAAATTTTGTTAAAAGCAATAAAATTGGAAAAAATACTTGGGACTTGATATACGCAATTATTTTTGGTGGATTTCTTTAGAATTATTAATCGGTAATAGGGTTTAGAATACAAAGTAAGGCACTTCAAAGCAGGTTGAGGGTATAATACATTCTCGTCCATGTAGGCTGAGTGAGGACTTCTCTTTTTATATATAGCACTTCATTTCGCATTTTTTCCGAATTTGTCGGCGGTAATTTGTGAAAAGGGGCTTCTCCTTTCGGTTTTCACTGCATGCACTCTAAATTTCCTTAGAAACGTACAGAGAGGAAACAAAGCAAAAAGGGAATAGATGGTGAGGAGATAATGGGATTCGCGCGCAAAACGAGGAGATTGATATACTGTACTGTACATCATGCAGAATTTATAATTAGAAATAATTGATCAAGACCGTGAACCAACATCAAAAAATGCCGAACACAAAAAATACGCAAGGTATAAAAATTTCCAATGTCAGGCAGAAGATTAGAGTAATTTACATGATCAGGTCATTCCAAAGTTATGCCTAGATACTCGTACATTTCGAGTCTCGCGATTTATTTATTATTCCCCACCCAATGACTTCCTGCGATGATTGATTGAATAATAATTCTCTACAGCGAGATCGTCAACCAGGGCATAGCCTATACCCTCTTCCGTACAATAACGATTTCAGGTGGAATTTGAAGAACGTTACCCAAATACTGTAATAGCTAACGGGCCGCTAGATGGCTCATGGAGCAGCGACATCTAGCGGCCCGAAAATAGCAATAATTTGTCATGAAAAAAAAAAGCAGGTTATCTCGAACACCCTGGATTTTACAGAAAGCATGACATCTGATTGAATACCCTCGACCAATCACGCAAAAAGAGAACCCTAAAAATACTGTATAAACCGAAAAAAAAAAAACTCACGTGATCAGCCGTCGTACCAACACGCGATTCTTCGTTCGGTCCATTTGTGAATCAAAAGGCACCTCCAGCGTCTGGTTCACAGCATTCGCGGACGCACTCAACAACCCCGTACCCAAACACGTCAGAATCACTACACCGGGATCGAAAGCCCCCGGCGCCAAGGCGTATCCACCCATGGCAGTCGTGATGACCAGGGCCGAGAGCCTGGCTTTCGACAGCTTCAAATACGCCGCAGGAAGCTTTTTCGCAGGGGTGTGACATTCGTACCAGCCCAGGTTTTCGCTGGGAACCGCGCCCACTAGCTTCAAAGAGTGGGGAGGAATGCGTTCCCGGGGCTCAGAGTCTTCTTCGACGAACTTCCGCTCGGTTTTGACGACCTCGTCCACAGGTTTCGCTGGGTCTATTACAGGGACTGCCTGAGGCCGTGCTGCTGCCCATCGCACCTATTAAAATAAAAAAACCAGGAAGCATTTAAAGGACACATTTGTAAAATTGCGCAAGTTACCAGAGGCTACCCAGCCACAACGGTAGAATGAGTTTTGCATGCAGAAAAAAAATGAAGAATCGACAGAAAATTGATCATAAAAGGTGATTAACTGTAGAGGCAGGACTGAAAAAAGTTTGATAAGAATACTTTCGTTCCAGCTCACGATGGAGAAGAAGTAAATCTACAAGGGTTTGTCGTAGAAGTTGGTTCAAAAGAAAAGCTTGGCAAATCCGTCAGCAAATGAGAAAAATAAATTGTCATTCTTAAATTTATCAGGAAATTTTTAGAAAGTAAGGATTGTAACAGAATACCGACATATTTTGAAAATGAAAATATTCTAAATTGTAACTTATTCTAAAATCCACGTTTAATTTTCCCTTGTATTTACTTTTTTCTGTAATACATCACAGCAGTGCTGACCAACTCAGACATGCCCAAGGGCTATAAATTTTTTATGTGGCCGGGGGCCAAATTGCGGAGTAGCCAATATAAATGAAAAATTTCAAATTTAAATGGGTTCCGTGCATTGAATAATAAGCGTGTTTTATAGAATTTCTGAAGGGTGGAGGAACATTTTCAATTTCTTCTTTAGAAATATATTTTGAATATTGATGGCTGCCATCTTGAAAAGCGTAAGGAAGGGAACACGGGACAAATGAAGAGTGTCTGAGGGCCAGATCTGGCCCGCGGGTCGTGTGTTGGGCAGCATCGCAGTACAATGTGATAATTTGTTCCTCATAGTTGTTTCTTTGTACAACGGAACAAAACTCGTCAAATAACTGAAAATCACCTTCTGAGTAAAAACACGACCGTGGTCCAATCTGCACGGGCAAATCGGGACAGTTAAAACACTAAACTGTCGCGAACCAGTCGCGCTGAATTTCAGCAGCATCTTCGAAAACTTCCACATCCTGCGGACATCCGTCCGTCTCAGTGTCCTTCACTCCATCTGAAACATCGATCAATATGTTAAATAAAATTACCGCGACTGATTTCCTACATCTCACTGAGAATAAATCAGAGATTTCATTACTGCTGAATCACGGATGTTAACGTTAGTCATATTCAAACATTGAGCTATGACGCATCGATATTTTTATCGATCTTGTTGAATTCTCATGCCTTTTATTTTCAGGACAACTCCCATCATTTTGATTTTCGACATAAAAAAAACATGACTAGCTCGAAATTTTATTATTTCAAGTCGCGTCAAACATGAACCTCACCTAAAATTTGGATCCACTCCAACAGAGCAAAATAATTCACAGTATTCTCGTTCCTTCCTTGGATTAAAAATGGGCAGAAACATGTAACAAGCACACGACTCCTCATCACGTAGATTCAGACGAAATATCAAAAGCAGAACCTTCGATAAAAATGTATCGTCTTTGATATCAGCGCCCCATTGGAAGCATACAAAGGTAAACACACTAAGCAGAACACGTAACTAAAACACACACAATTTTCAATGTCGCTCACAGCCACAAGCACGATTACAGTTCAGTTTCAATTATTAAAAAGACTAAAGTCACTAAACGGTTCTCATTACTTCCAGCGGACCGTCACAGATGAACTCATCCCGTTTCGTCTCTGGCATCATGAAGCTGTTGAGCACTCGCGGGAATTAAAAATATTCAGAAAAAGGGCCAGTCAAAATATTCACGATATGAAAATCAGTATGGTAAAAAAAAAACAACCGCAAATAACAACCGCATCAACTTGTCGAAAAACGATTCGAAACATAATCCGCAAGAAAATTAATTTAAGTACTGTACATGTTGGTCCTGCGGTGTACTGAATCGTCAAGACGGAATCATTTTGAAAAAAAAAAAAAAAAGCGATGGATGCAAAGGAAAAATTGAATCACTGACTGAAGTTTGTGGACAAGGGGTGAAGAATTCACCGCACCCCGTTTTCATCAATTTTCATTTTTTGTAAAAGCGTTCAATGATGCGAAGATTGTAATCATATATCTTTTTCTCCCGAAACATGAGAGTTGATACAAAATATGTTTAAATTTATGCCGTAAAACTTCATAATCAGAAGATACGGAAGTACTGTATAAGATCAAATATAATATATTCTAAAATTTCTTTGTCTGGAAAATACCTCATGGTTCGTCACAATCGATAAAGGCTGAACAGTCACAAATGTGATTTTTTGGTCACAACTAGAAGAATTATTGTAGTCGGGGGTAAACACCAGACACTTTTTCGATCTTTTGCAGAGCCCTACAGACATATCAATGATTATTCATTAATTTCTTTCTTGAAAATACACTCTGGAATGAACAGAACAAGAAAAATCATTGTTTCATAAACTCAACGCATTTTTCCCCAACACTGATGACCTCGATCAGTGACGGAACTGCTCGCACGAAGAACCGATCACGGTAAATGTGTTAGTGAATGCCAACGAAATATCGAATCTTTTTTTCAGGTGCTTTTTTGGACCCCAGTTGCGCAGTCACTTTCGCTCACTACCGAAATATTTTTGTGTGCATGATATCATTGTTGAACATGGTCATGGTACGCTGGAGGCGGATGTTCCTCATCAAACAAGGAATCGTAGCTGGGCGGAGGGACAGCGTTTTTGGCGGCCACTTCCGCCTCTTGCTCTTCTTGGTACTCAATGCGATCCTCCGCAACGTCGTAGAATATCACTGGAAGTTGTCCTCGTGCAGCCTCGTTCAGTTGCGCCATGGCGGCACGATTAGCTCTCCTCTGCCGCCATACTCGGAGAAGAATGCCCACGGAAATGCAAACCATCAGTCCTGCTGTAATGCCCACCCAGACAGCCGCCCTCGGGCTGTTCAATCCTTTCGAATTCAGCTTCGCATTCGCAAAATCTGCAACAAAAAAGACGATACAGACTTTCACGGGGAACTTTCGACGGGATGCTTAAGGATTTTAAATTTGTAAAATGTTCACGTCACTCGTTTCCACAATAATCTTCGCGGACCCATCAGGAAATAATTCTTATATCACAAGCAAATACTGTTTCATCAAGTAATAATACGCAGGAAATCATTGAACATACGAACCATCATTTGTACAGTTGCTTTCGTCACTTCCAGGAATCGAGTCGCGGAATCCACAATTTGGAAATCCATTGCAAACCAGCACCTTTGATACACAAACCTTGTTTCCGCAATTGAAGAACTGTGGCTGACAAGAAGACGACTTGTAGTACGCAGTAACAACAAAACGGACCCGAGAATTTTTCCAATATGGATCCGACACGTCAAGGCGAAACTTCACGTCCATTCTTGTCCCGGAAATGTACGCATTACCCACGGCCTCATCAGATCTTTCAGGAAGACTTTTCACGTCAAGATTCCGGGGATGAGTCAAATTTCCACAAATCTTCCCAGTGCCATCCGAGAACAGATCCCTGACCTCATCGAAAATAAGAGGATTGTCTTTGACCAACTACAGCATTCAAAATGGAAACTATGTGAAAAGGAAGACGAACAATTTCAATTTGGAATACATTACCGTAACTGAGTCCAAACAACCCTCGTTTGTGCGACGAAGATTCAAGTCCATGAAGACGACTCCAATGTGGTGGTCATGTGGAGCGCGGATTTCCAGGGCGCATTCATGCATACCATGGCTCGTAAATTTGGCGCGTGTCTTTTCTCCGTCAAATTGAATCACTGTCTGTGATTTTGCCCCATGATACAAGTCAACAACATACTTGTATTTATCACAAATAGCCGGATCAGACAAGTCATCTACCATGAGAAATACACAGGTTACTTTCGAAACGAATGACATGGAAATGTCAAAACATCTCACATTCGTCTTGAAGTCCTTCTGCAAACGAGGGGAACAACAGCCACGGAATCGCGAAGTAAAAACACTTCAACCATTGCATGACTCAGATCGGCGTTGCATGAGTTAATGCTAACTTCGGTAGCCTGAGCTACCACTAGTGCGCGTGATTTTGTGTGGGGAGCGTACAGTACTTTAGTTTTTTTTTGATAAAAAATATACCACAGATCTTCTAGGACAGCACGGTAATATTTTCCGAGCAGCACATCCAAATTCAGTAAGCGTTATTAAAAGAGACGGAATTTCCCATCAAATTTTCAACTCTCAATGCCACCGCATTTCCCCAAATCTCGATTTTGGGGCGAACAGTTAACTTTTCTCCACGTGCAACGCATCACGCCCAAAAATAGGACGAAACTTGTGCCTCTATCTTTTCCGGACGTTATCGAAGGAAGTGCGTCTTCCTCGGACAATTACCAGGATTCACGGAGCTTTTCTCTTTGCAATATCTTCTCAGCGAAAAACTACACCACCCTTCCACTCCACTGAAAGCTTGGCAATGCGGCGCACATGCATTATAGACCGTCCGATGGAATCGCATGTCAGTAGCACGAGGAGGCAAAAATTACGGTAACTGTTCCGCGGAAGGTATTCCGGATGCATATAAGCCAATCATTTTGCACAAAAGTATAGCTTCGTGGGTGATTCAAACCAGAATACTGTACAAAGAAAAGAATGAGCAATGCTCAGCAGCTTCGCACTAGCTGAGCCCCACGCAAGACCTTGGGACTTGTACGGTTTTATGTGAGAAGAGAAATAAATTGGAGCAAGCCGTACACCTTGCAAGTACTGTTTAGAATAATTTAAGTTGACAAGTTTTTAATTTGGTACTTATAAGTCAGGAATTAAAAGATAGTTCTTCGAGGACAAGTCAGATATGAAGAAAATAAATTCAACACAACAATTGGCCGGTGCGCGAACCGACCAGGGATTCTCTCCCAAAAAGCGCAAGCCTTTGTTTAAATACTTCAACAGAAAAATAGATAAGCAAGACAACAAATATGCACAACAGTTTCCGCAGTATAAAATATTCACAACAGTTTTCACAGAGTTTTT